TACAAAGTTAGAATACTGGTGAAGCCTGAACGTCAAAATAATTGATAACGATATAATTAGTGTTATAATACTAAGATATAATAATAATGTATAATACATACATACATACATATACATATATATACACATATATAATAGTTTGTAAAGAAATTAAAACGGGACAAACGAGACAGTTCGTAACAAAAACAATCAAAACCGACACCGACATTGTTTAAAACAGTTCGGTACGAAAATAGACAAATGTAAAAGGAAATCTTTCGAATCCTTATTTCTCAAAATTGGACCATTTCAGTCTGGTTCGATACAAGAGAACTCGGATTTTTTGCCGACGCCTAGTGGAAGACAACTACTCATAAAATCAAATCAAGAATGTTTTGTATAATGAAGTGTTGAATAATGTAGGATTTTAAACCCATCTTTTAATAGTATATGATTTTTATATTTGTATATTTTTTATTGCCATATGAGATGTTTAATTAGAAATAATTGTATTTTAAATAAATGAAAAAGTTGATTCGTGCATGACACTGTTTGTATATCACTTGTGAGTTGTCCTACATAGGTTATACATGAAAAATAAACCCACCTTATAAGTCTAATGGGCTACTCCTCCTTCCACCAATTGGTTTGGGATGGAATCCCACTTGGGCTTCATCTGGGCTTTCCCTGCTATGGTGCGCTTCATCTGCGTGGGACCGCAACCGTTTTTTCCTCCGTTTCTTACATGATATCAGAGTCGGTTCTATTTGGTCTGTGCAATGACGTACCCATTTACCCATCCTGTTTCTAGTAGGACTTGGGCCTGTTTCTTACATGGTATCAGAGCCGGTTCTATTTGGACTGCGCAATGACGTACCCGTTTATCCAGCCTATTTCTAGTAGGATTTGGGCCCACGTATTCGTTTATGGGAGTTTGTAGGGCTTGGGCCCACGTACCGGTTTATGAGAGCCTGTTTCTAGTAGGGGTTGGGGCACCCAGCTCTGTATATGGGCTTGGGCTTCTTATTAAGAATTCACAAGTTAGGTGGTGTGTTAGAATATCACTTGTGTTTTGGCCCACATAGGTTATACATGGAAAATAGACACACCTTATAAGTCTAATGGGCTACTCTTCCTTCCACCAATTGGTTTTGGAATAGAACCCCACTTGGGCTTCATCTGGACTTTCCCTGCTATGGTGCACTTCATCTGCGTAGGACCGTACCCATTTTTCCCCCCGTTTTTTTTTTTTTTTCAAAACGACAGGGGAACTATCATTAAAACTCAAAAACGAACAACGTTCGAATACAAAGAGTGCCATACTAACTACACCGGAAATAAAAAAGTGGGAGACACACTAACGTGTGGCCTGGAGTCTCAATAAGGAAAATCCTAAAAAGATAAACTATAATCGAAAGACAAACGAATGAGTTAAATGACCTACCACTGCAATAATGCCTAGTAAAGAAATCCTAACTCTTTGAAAAAGCAAACAAAGAAAGCCAAATTAAGAAGAAGCAGAAAAAGAAAGCCAATCCGAGTGAGCCGCTTTGATCAACATGGGAACTGTTTTTTCTCCCGTTTCTTACATGAATTACACATTAATTTATTGTACAACAACATTAAAACATTGAAATGCTTTTAACAGTTTAACCATTAAATTGTCCAAATGTACATTAACCAATTAATTCTGACTAGGTAAAATTAAAGTTTATCATTGTAACCAGAAAGAAAGTATAAATGCAAATCAATGTCGGTTGTTAAAGTAAAAACAGATGGGCATTTTTGGGAAACAACCTTTTTAAGGAATCTCCATTATTATTATTAGAGTACCATTATTTGGCAAAGCATAAAAGGCAAAATCACCGGGCCAAATAAGCAATCACTCCTAATTAGCAATTCCTAAAAATACTGAACAGCCTCAGGATAAGAAAAGTGATATCGATTGAAGATTTTGCAGTACAGCCATGGAAATCCGCCAAGTGCTTCTTCGATTCAAGCACCAAATTCTCTTCGCCCTAGCTTTGGCTTTCACTATCATCTTCATTTGCTATTTGGCGCCTAGGTTTGTCGATATCTTGAAGTACTTTTGGCCGCTGCTCGTTTCGACGGCCCTATTTCTTTTTGCCAGCGTTGTTTTCGACCGGATATCTCCGGTGACGGATGATTCAGGCGAGAAACCCGGTGAGGGATTGCTGGATTTCGTCTCCGGCGAGCCGCCGGTTGGGGAAATGGAGACCACTGAAGGGGCGGCCGAAGTGGAAGAAAGTCTGAAAGCCGAGTAGGGCCATTGTTCAAGTCCTACTGTCAATTTCTTTTCTTTTTTCTTATTTTTTTTTTTTAACCTTTGTATTTTGTAGCAGATTTGCTGTTTTTAAAACTGGGAATAGTAAGATGATCTTCTGTGATTAAATGGTGTTCATTTTCTTTTTCTTTTGATTTAGCATTAGCCTTTGACGGCGAAGACACTGTTATTTCTATTTTATTTATTGTTCACTGTTNACTTAATTACGACGACCAGCACGTTTCTGGGATACGACACCCCTACCACATCATGAGCAAGCTAAGTCTTTGCACCCGAGGGAGGATCGAGATGAAGAATCGGTGTATCTTAGCCCGATTGTGAATAAAAGCGCTCTAACAACCTTCGCTTAGACACGATAAATTGTGACGAAAGACTCTAAGGCCTTCTTTCGAACACGGTTGTGTTAAAACCGCACTATCGGCCTAGTTCTAACACGATTGTATGATAAAACCCTAATGAATTCTAATCACACGAGAGATCGCCCAATTGGACGATTTTTCTTATTAATTCTTGAATGATAAAATTCAATGACAATGACTACTATTTATAGATGCTAACTAGGACTAATCCTATAAGAACTAGAATTCTAAACTATAATTAATTTGGCACATGCATTTATTCAATAGAATCCTAAGACTATCCTTATCGATGACTCAATGTTTGGGTCACCCGCAAAAGACAAATGAAAAAAAAAATGTAGAATATCACACGACAACAACTCGACCGGCTATCTATGGGAGGAGAGGAATAGTCAGAATTAGTTTTATGATAATATAAAATATAACTTAAATTATTGATTTAATTTATGTTAAAAAATAAAAATAAAACTACTAAAATTCGTATTTTTTCATTCTCTACAAACAGAGACCACACTTGATAGATTTTGGAACACAATTGCAATTTCTCTTTTTTCACTCTTTTTTTTATCATATTTTATTAATTTTATCATCTCTTTCCATTTTCCTAATTTCTAACAAGCTAGTACGAATCTCGTACGATGCACGGGTAAAAGATATTTATTAATATTCATAAATAAAAAATACTCATTAAATAATATTGATAAATTCAAAATATGAAATCAATATGTAATACAACTTACCTATAAATTTATTAAAAATTTTATATGACATTTAAATCGTGAAAATTAGATAAAACATGTCTATTTAAAATCAGTACACAACCCGTACGGTGCACGTAACTGACAATTAATTACATTATATTCATTTCAAAATAAGTGTCATTTTAAAAATTTTATTCAGAAATTCGATTTGATTGCAATGTACTTCCATAAAATAATTATTTTGGTAAAATTATATATTTGAATTGAGGTTCATAGAATGAGTAAAAACAATAGTAAGAGTATTTAAAATAAAATTTTAGTTAGGTGTTGTATGTTGGCGATAAACAATTATATTTGTCCAACCATTTATTTAATGTTTTACCTTATTTTTTTAATTTATTAAACAATATTAGAAATTAATAAATTTAATCAATTTTATGGAATATATAAATAACGTCCTGCAACTTATTTTTTACATTATATCTTCTAACTTGATATATAAATATTTTTTCGACTCAAATTGTTTATATGTATCTACTTACAAAACTTGGCACGTAATTTTATTTAAATTCACTCAACATTTTACAGCATGCAGAGACCATATTCAATTCCAAATTAGAAAATCATAGTTTTATAACGAATCAACCTAAAATTCGACTTTCATCTTCATACCAAATAAAATTCATACTACTTATTTTGTTTTCAAAATTTTCAAATACACTTATATCCATATAAATTCAAACATTTACCAAAATAATATCACCTAATTTATACCATAAAATTAAGACATTTATTAATGACAACACATTTTTTTTAAAAAAAAAACACAATTCTACCAAAATAAAAATGGTCATCATATAACTCAAATAAAATTGTCCACTATATAACTAAATCGAATTTATTAATTTTGTCGACTTTATAGCACAAATTTATTAGTTAACTTTTAAAGGCGAGTTTCTTTCTTTTTAATTAAAAAAAAAAATTAATTACCTAGTTTAGTAAATCTAAAATTTTTAAGCGGGATTTTAATTTTTATAGTAAATACCATAAGTATTTATCTATACACACTTCTTATGGATAGCATCTTAGGATTGATTAGATTTGATTTTTTTCGTTAATGTAGTTAGTTATTTATAGATATACGTTTTTCATGCATATGCAGCATATCAAATAATGATTGTTTTGATTCAGTAAAGATAACATTTAATGCTATCCGTGTTTAATTAAAAAAAATAAAAAGTTTTATTAATGGTAGATCATTAATGCTAACCAAGTTTGACCATGAATTTGACCTGCCACTTTTGAAAAATGGTAATTCTTATTAGATGTATATAGATAGATGCCATATGCATACAAATTCTGAATATTACCTCAATTCTCAAAATTTAATTGTATGGTAAAATATTAATTTTTTAAAATTATTACGACTTTATTATAGATTTTTTAATTAATTTGTCACAACTAAAACAATAACAAAAAATCAATTGTAGATAATATTTAATAAACAAATAAAAAATAAATATTACGTTGGGTTGGGTTGGGTTGGGTTGAGGATAAAAATATGTAGGTTTTAAAGGTTGGGTTGTATAGATGGAGGAGAGAGAAATAATTTTTTATTATTAGGTTGAGTTGGGGATAAATGTAGTCTAATAAGCTAAGTAAATCGGCCCTCGTCCTTCTAGAATACTTGCTCCTCAAGCGTATCTCGGCCACATGCTATTCCTCGACCAACAAGGCTTCTCGGATTGCCGCACATATCTTCACACCTCGCACTTCGCGCTCGCACCTCGCATGTGCTCGACCAAATCTTCGTCATGCTCGCGCTCGATCCGCTCTAGCTTCGACCCTCTCGCGTTCGATCCCGCAAATGTCGACCTCGACACTGCAAGCCTCAATCTCATGAGCTTCGACCTCTCGCGCGTCCATCTCTCGAGCTCCGTGCTCGACCTCTTTGCCGTGGTCGAACCCGTGTGGTGCTCGACCTTGTTGAGCTCGACACCGCGTGCTCGTCATCGACTCGCTGGGCTCTTTCTTGCGTGCGCTCTTTTGCTCGATCCTGCTTCGGATGACTTTTCGCGTGTGTCCTCTTGCGCGAGCTTCTCTAGAGCGTCGATTAACACTTGTGCAAGCTCCTCTCGCACGGTCCCGTTGGGCATCCCGTCTACTCTCGCGTCCCTTATCTCGGCTCGAGGTTATTGCGTCCATGGATCCAGAAGGGTCGATGACCACATCTTCATCAGATCGTCTAAACGCTGAATTCCGCCAGGTCTCTGCGCCGCAAGGGAGGCCAAAAAATCGGTAACAAAATTCGCTTCGAGATATTGGTTTGGTACACACCATTTTGTCATTTTTTTCCCATTTTCATTACAGAGCCATTTTTTTTAGCCCTTTTACATTATCCAAAATGAAATATAGCCACAGTATTAAAATCACGGATCTGCTCCCCTACCCACAGTGAGCAGGGAATTAATATGTTCACTGCTTATGTGGCATGTACACATTGGGCATATGTGTACATGTCACATAAGCAGTGAGCATATTAATTCCCTGCCCACCGTGGATAGGAGAGCAGATCCCACTAAAATCAATGAAATATAGCTATTTTGTATGTAAAATGACCGTATTACCCTAACATCAAATTAATCTAACCTATCATTTCTTCCTCCAAAAAAATTGCATGCTTGTTTATAAATTATTTCATTATCATTCAATTCATACTCAAAATCTAAGGGCATGCTTGTTTATGAAATAATTCATTTCACACTCAAAATCTAACTCAACTTTAACTCAATCCCACTATCATTTATATTATTTATATAATTAAATATTATAAACCAATCATTATTACATATCACATCAACTTTAATTCACTATTCATCCACTCACATAATTTTAACTACCAATCATTTCCAATCATTTATATCCTACTTTTACATCAAATCATTAATAATCATTTTATTTTAAATATTATTTTAATATATTATTAAAATCTCACTAACAATTAATCATACTACATTTTTCAAAATTAACTCTAGTTAACTAAAATAACTCATTTTGAATGAAATATTTCATAAACAAGCACGCCCTAACTCAACTTTAACTCAACTCCACTATCTTTAATATTATTCATATAATTAAATTATACAAACAAATCATTCTTACACATTACATCAACTTTAATTCACTATTTATCCACTCACGTAATTTTAACTACCTATCTCAATCATTTATCTCCTACTTTTACATCAAATAAATTTTAATCATTTTATTTTAAATATTATTTTAATATATTCTTAAACTTTCACTAAAAACTGACCATACCATCTTTTTTAAAATTAAATATAATTAACCAAAATAACTCATTTTAAACAAATTATTCCATAAAAAAGCGCCCCTTATCCATCCATCTCTCCTAATCTCCGCCGGATCTCACCTACCATTTCATCCTCCCGAAAAAATTCTCCATCCATCTCTCCTAATCTCCGCCGGAGAACTCCAATAGGGAGCACATGGCGTCGCCGACGGTCAGCATTGGGATACTGGGTTGCGCCAAGGTAGCCCGTAAGGTCTCCCGGGTAAATTTCTTCTCTGGCAACGCCACATTCTACGCCGTCGGCAGCCGCACCTACGGCTGCCAGATTCGCGCAAGAAAATCGGTTCCCCGCAACCGCCAAGGTCTACGGCTCGTCTTTTCACTATTTCTCCATTTATTATGTTCCTAACATGTACTTGTGTTGTCTTTTGTGCCTTATGTCTAGTACTTGATGGTTGTGAAGCCTTTTTGCTCTTGAATCGGAGGTTGTTTTATCAGTTTAGGTGTGTTTGTGTTATATGGATGATTTGTTCTTGAGAAGCATATTAGAATAATATGACATTAGATGCAATGAATTGTGCTCTTTTATGATTCTGAACAAGAATTACCGTGATGAATGTTCGTATATCTTTATTCTTTATTGTCTTTTTAGATTTTAGTGTAGATTACGATGATGAGGAGGGGGAACTGGATGAGGAGTAGGAGGTTCAGAATCTAGCAAAGTCGGAGCCGACATGCCCCTTTTTCCCCGAGGACTTTCATGTTCTCGGGTTATGCTGCAACATTGACGCCGATCATCGTATGGAGGTTACACCTGGGGTAAAAATATAATCTTTATCGAGGGTTTTGTTTAATTTTAGTTTTGAGGGGTTTTGGCATGTTTGTGTAGCTGTGAATTCCTAAGAACTGAACAATTTAAAGTGATTTTATTTGTGATTGTGAACAATTTAAAGTGTCTTTATTTGTGATTGTTTGCAAGGTGCTTCCAAAGTTATAAATGAGGGACCTTTGGTTAAATTGTCTGAACAATTGGGGTGTCTCTGACTCTCTGTAGAGATTGATTTGGTTTTGAGGTAGGACAGATTTCTTCGTTTGATTTGTGGGAGGCTGGGAAACGGGGTGATCATAAGATTGTATTGTATAACTTGTGAGTGTGTTCCAATCTAAAAAAATAAATAAAAGAAGAGATGTAGTATTTTGGCTTATTAGATATTAGTGTTGGGAAAAAACTCCCAACTTCATGGAACGCACAATATCAATTATTGTTTTCATTCGATTTATTTTGCTTACCAACAATTAAAATATTGTTCTTTGCAGCAAAAAAAGAAGAAGTACTAAACGAGAGCTTTTTCTGTCGCAGATTTGCCCCATTTGCTGGGCAAAAGTGTGCATAAACATGGCTTCTCGTGTAATCACGCAGCACGAGGCTGTTCTAAAAATAACATTCAAATATTTATGCAAAATGATTCATCTTGCTATTGCGCGTATTTTGTTGTCATCTATTTTTTTTTAGCCGGAATATGGTTTTATATGAGTGATTGCATTTTTGTCTAGAAACATTCCAATGTAAAACAACAACAACAACAACAACAACAACAACAACATAGCCTTTAGTCCCAAGCAAGTCGGGGTAGGCTAGAGATGAAACCCAAGAGAAACACAAAAAGACTCGAACCAAAAGGAAGAGATCGAAAAAGAGAGAGAGAGAGAGAGAGAGAGAGAGAGAGAGAGAGAGAGAGAGAGAGAGAGAGAGAGAGAGAGAGAGAGAGAGAGAGAGAGAGAGAGAGAGAGAGAGAGAGAGAGAGAGAGAGAGAGAGAGAGAGAGAGAGAGAGAGAGAGAGAGAGAGAGAGAGAGAGAGAGAGAGAGAGAGAGAGAGAGAGAGAGAGAGAGAGAGAGAGAGAGAGAGAGAGAGAGAGAGAGAGAGAGAGAGAGAGAGAGAGAGAGAGAGAGAGAGAGAGAGAGAGAGAGAGAGAGAGAGAGAGAGAGAGAGAGAGAGAGAGAGAGAGAGAGAGAGAGAGAGAGAGAGAGAGAGAGAGAGAGAGAGAGAGAGAGAGAGAGAGAGAGAGAGAGAGAGAGAGAGAGAGAGAGAGAGAGAGAGAGAGAGAGAGAGAGAGAGAGAGAGAGAGAGAGGAGCAAAAGTCACGGTTCTGGCACGTTGATAGCGAGCCTCCAAGCGCTCCTATCCACCGCTAAATTCTTGAAGATATTTCAATCTTTAAGGTCTCTCTTAACCGACTCTTCCCAAGTGAGTTTAGGCCAACCTCTACCTCTCTTAACATCCTCGACCCGCTGTAGAACTCCCCTACGCACCGGTGCATCAGGAGGCCTCCGTTGGACATGTCCGAACCATCTCAGCCGGTGTTGAACCAATTTCTCCTCAATTGGAGCCACCCCGACCCTATCTCGAATATCTTCATTCCGGATTCTATCCCTTCTTGTGTGCCCACAAAACCAACGCAACATACGCATCTCCGAAAACATTCCAATGTAAAAATCTCAAATATTTTTGCACTTGTAAATCTATGCTGTCAAGTTACCATTGCATGCTATATGTGGTGCTTGTCCTTGATTTGTGCACTATACATGTTTGAATTCGTACTCGTGGACTTCACTTGTTCTTGTGGGAAATTGCTAGCTTACGACATATGTTAATTAGTTGCTTGTTCTTATGATGTTTGCAGAATACAGACTAATTCATCAACAGACTGGAATGATGAGAGGACCATAGGATGGTGCAAATATTGCTAAAGCCTAAAGGAGGTGCGAATTTGTAAGGGGATTAGTACTCTCCACCATGTTTGATGACTTATGATTTGAAATTGAACTGGATTTGGGTTCATCGATGCCTGTTTATCGAGAGCAGAAAATGTTCTTTATGGAATTTAACAAAAAATGTGTGCATGTATGTATAGGATACTCATCTCTGTATTTAATCTTAATGTTATGTGTTTGTGCAATTGTTTGATGCTAGATGCAGTTTCCCATTATATTTGAGTTTGTAAACAACAACAGGTTGGGCTTTGATTCAATAATTCATTTTTTCGTGCCTTTGACATGAGAGAATGTTTCTTCTGATTTTATAAAAATTATTCCTTTAAGAAAATATAGAAGAAACGGCAACATTACATGAGAAAAGTGACATAACAAAGAAAGAAAATATTTCTTAAATTTTAAAGGGCAACATTACAAGGTCTTATTCGAAAAGAAAATATTTCTTAAATTTTAAATCACATCAACATTTCAAAAATGATTTTTAGAACAAATTTATTATTCTATGAACCGTTTCTTGAATGAAATATCGTTTCTCGAACAAAAGAAAATATTTTATGTAAAATATTTCCTGAATGAAATATCGTTTCTAAGTATAGCACGCTTGTCCATCGAATCACATGAACTGTCCAAAACATGATTCTTTAAACTCCCTAAGACGGCTACAAACACCTCGTTGCATCTTAATATGACATATTACTTGTGGCTTTGTCTGACAATTTATTTTACCACTCCAATTCAAGCTTTATGCCATCTCCAACTTCAACCATTACCCTAAAAATCATAAAACAATTAATATTATTTTTTAAAATAGTTTCTAATTTTTTAAAAACACAATATTTAAATATAAAAAAATACAAATAGAAATCTACCAAGAAACAATAAAGTAGAAACAATTTCTTGAAATAACAAAGAAACAGTTTCTAGTAGGGGTGTTCACGGTCCGGTTTTAAACGAAAAAAACCGTCAATCCGGACCGCGGATCGGTTAAATGGTCAGTTAAAAAAGCCTTAAAAAATCCGGTGGTTAATTTTTTTAAAAATCCGGGATAACCGGTCCGGTTAACGGATTACCTGCGGCAAACTGCCGGGTTAACCAGACCGGACCGATAAATATTAAAAAATTATAACAAATATATATATACATTCAGCCATTCACTATGGCTGACAAATACAATACATTCACTATGAATGCTTTGCTCTTATTATTTCAAGTGTATAAACTGACTGAAAAATTGAATGCTTTCTTGGGTTCAGTTTGCATAATTTAATCTTCATGATTTTTGTATTCTTATGTTTATGGGACGAAATGTGTATTTTTATGTTTATGGGATGAATTTTGTATTTTTTATTTCATTATTATTGTTTTTCTTAATTTTTAGGCCTAAATAATCTCTTTTGGGCCCAAAATTGAAAATTAAAAATTAAGCTAAAATAAAAATAAAAATTGAATGACCAAAAAAAGGATTTTGGATTTAACCGGTTAACCGCCAAACCAGACCGTCCAATGCGGTCCGGATCGTGGTCGGTTAAAAAATAAAATCGGTCCGGTTATGGACAAGAAAAAAAATTAACTGTTAGGTCCGGTTTGATCATAGTTTGGGCTAAAACCGGACTAATCCGGACCGTGAACACCCCTAGTTTCTAGAACAAGAAATAGTTTTCTAAACAAGAAACAAGTGACAACTTGCCTACCCCGAAGCGGGGCGTACCAAAACAAGTGGATTTTTTTTCGACACTACAAGAAATCTGCCAATAGTGACGAAAAAAAAAAAATCGTTACCATATGTTGAGTTATGGTGACAAATTTAAAAAATTGTCATCACATCATTGCATATGGTGACGACTACTACATTCGTCATCTTAGAATTTATGTTTCGTGACATAATCGTACTTTTCAGGACAATACATCTCAATGCGTCGCCTATACATTTAAATTCGCCATATTTATATAAAATGTGAAGAAATTCCATGTGACAAAAATAATGTCGTCACTGTTGTTGGTATGTGAAATGACGCTTACGACTAATTTGTTATTATATAATTATCTATTATGACGATACATTATAACACATCTAAATTCATCACATTAATACATATTATGACGAAATTCAGTGCGACGAAAAAAATCGTTGTTTTTTCTTTGTATTTAAAATGACGCTTATGAAAAATCCGTCATTATATAATTTTGTTTTGCAACGATAAATTAAATTCATCTAAATTCATCACATTAATATAAAATCATTGTAACTTTTTTTAATTTAATATGACGCTTACGAAAAATTCATCATTGTATAATTTTGTTTTTGTGAGATAAATTATAATTCATCTAAATTCATCAATTAATACATATTATGACGAAATTCATTGCGACGAAAAAAAATTCATTGTCATTTTTTATTTAAAATGACGCTTACAAGTAATTTGTTATTACATACTTGTGTCTTGTGAGGATACATTACAATACATTAAAATTCGTCATAGTAATACATATAATGACGAAATTCAAAGCGCAAAATACACGTCGTCGTTCTTTTTGGTATTTATAATGACGCTTGTAATTCGGCATTATATACTTGTGTCTTGTGATGATACATTACAATACATCTAAATTCATCACATTAATATATCTCATGACGAAATTCACTGCGACAAAATAAAAGTTGTCGTTAGTTTTGGTATTTACAATGGCACTTTTAAATAAATCTTCATTATATAATTTTGTATTGTGGCAATACATTACAATACATCTAAATTCATCACACTAATAGATCTTATGAAGAAATTCAATGCAACAAAATAAATGCCATCATCTTTTTGTATTTAAAATGGCGCTTTTTGAAAATCGGTCATTATTGCAATATGCATTGTGACGATACAGCCGAATACATCACATGTTGTCACTTTTTTATCTAACGTGACCAATTCGATGATACAAAATAAATGTCATTGTTTTTGCTTTTACAGTTAGTGACGATTTTGCATAAACCATCTCGTATATTTCTTTATAAAACGTAGACTTTTTAATGGCAAATCCTGGCCTTGGCTTTCTTTGGGTAACAGGATTCTCTCTCGATAAATTGTATCCCCTTGTAGGGCTTCTTCATACTGCTCCTCATCGTAGCTCCTTTTTTATCCGAACCCGGGATAAAAACATGACGCGGCTCCTAGTCAGATCTATTTAGGATTTTTTGCCATGATGTGGCATCCTGATTGCCAAATGGAAATAACACTTGGATTAAATCTTTTCAAAAAAAAGAATTAACCAAAAATTGGTTCTGCCAAAGTGGAAATAACAAAAAGATTAAAAACAAAAATAAAACAAAAAATCAAAACCAAAGTGAAAATTAAAAAAGAAAAAAAAACCATGTCCCCAAACCACTGTTGCTCCACCTTCTCCACGAAAAAGTCTGCAAATTGAAAACTCACGTCCTCACTAATCAAGCATGTTCTTCAAAGACTAGCTTTTCTCATATATCATGCAACTATATGAATATACTTGTGCGCGCTTAATGTTGAGAAGATGAATATATGGTGGCTCGCAGAGAAGACCGGAAAATTTGTTTCCAGAAAAAAATCATCAGTTCCGACAACGGTGGACGTCACTAGATGCGGCTCGGTGAGAGGAGTTTGGAGGTATCTTCGGATTCACGTGGGTCAAAACGGGTCACAGGGAATTTGCAAAAGAAGGCCGAATAAATTTGTAGATCTACAAGTTTTGGCCGGATAATTGGAAGCCTTACCGTCGGAATTTTTGTGTGAAATTGTGATATATTGTTGGCCCGGAGAAGAGCTACAAGATGACGTAAAATTTTTTAAAATCTGGCGAGTTTGGTCGGAGGCAGGCGGCGGCCGGCGGCGGCACGGGGGAGGGTGGCGGCGGCGTAAAATTAAGTTATAATTATAGGGGCTCATCCTGGAAAATTTAATAAGTTATAAGGACTATCTTGTAATTTTAATAATTTTAATTAATTGCACCTAAGTCCTAAAGTTGACTGGATCATTGAATTTTGAAGTCAAAGTTTCCTAATCCCGCCACATAAGTCACAATCACGCCATGTCAGATAAAAAATTGCCACGTCATATTTTTATCCCAGTCTAGGATAAAAAAGGACCAGAAATGATGAAATCGACAAATTATAGGACCTAAATTGAAAGTGGTCAATATCGGGGTGGTATTTTGGACTGTGGTCAAGTTATAGGACCAATTTTGAAATTTTGCTGTTTCCTAACTCTAGGTAATACTCTAGAAGGAATATCCTTCTCCTTAGGGAATCCTAATTATGGAATATAATTAATTCTTAATTCTTAAATAGAATTAAATAATAAAACATTCCACTAGAGTAATATTATTACTCTCCCCATTTAACTCCAATTTATTCAATAAATTCGAACCTCCACCTGATTAATTTATATTAATCTAATTGATCGATTTATCCCCTATGTCTAAGATATAATGTCCGTTGCTTAATTAAATTACTGACAAAATAATTAATCAACCTCTTATTCATTTCCGAAACTAGTACCACTCAGATCCTTAATCATTATGTAGGATACACGTCCGCCTGCAGTGTTTGACATAATATTCCTTCCTGAGCTTATTTCGGGGACGTCATCAACCCAGCATATTGGGACATAGTGACCGTAAATAATTTATAACAACACATCATATAAACACTCTCATTTACAAAAATACCGAGTATGTCATCCTAACAAAAATAGGAATCACCCTTGGTTAATCAAATAAACAAGCAATGAATTTTATATTATCTTACAGCTTAAAAGTACGCATCAAATACTGAAGGTCTAGATTATAACTGCGATCAATAAATCTTACGATCTTATCCTTCCGCGGTCCTGTTCAATACTTATCATAAGTACTAGTGTAACCTATCAGTCAAAGATCAACCGAATCAAGACTTACACTATAGTCTTTTCTAACAAGGGTATCACTGTCTGCCTAAACTGTGAACAATTCGTTTATATTTTACAAGGAACCGATAGTATGATGTTTCTGTTCGACACGGTGAACCATACTATCTACAATGTAAAATAAAGGAGTTAATACTGCATAAATAAATAAACTGCAAACATAAATACCTTGACTAAAACATGACTGCCGGATCAAAATGGAATTGTCAATATCTGAAAGTCAAGATTTTACAACATATCCTAACACAAGGCTGGAGGTCTCACGCGGGGGTTGAGGCCAAAAAAATGTAGGGATTCATTGGCGAAGAGGCCAGCGAGGTCCATCGATGAACTTCTTGAAATGTGTAGTAAGTATGTGAATATGGAGGAGGCAGAAGATGCTTTCGTTCATAAAGACAAGATGAAGGCAAAGTAGACAGAAGAGAATCCCCGTCAAAGTGATCGACGAGTTGCCCAAAAGGAGTCCAAAGCCGAGGATCGGTTCAGGGGTCCGAGGTATGAGCTTTACAAGCCGCTCAATGCACCATAGCTGGATATCCTGGAGATGATGTAAAAATGAGGAGAGACCAAGTTGCTTGCACAACCTAAGCCTCTCCCCCCATCGCAAAAAATTTCTGTAGGAAAGGACTGGTATTGTCGGTACCATCGCGACTCTGGCCACTCCACCAATTTCTGCTAAGAATTGAATGATGAGATTGAGCGACTTATTAGGCTAGACATTTGAAGGAATTTTTTATCAAGGATAAGGACCGCCAGGAGGAGTGCCACTAGGGGCGCGAGTCAGGCGACAAGCGTAAAAGGACGGATGAGCAGCCGGACAGGCCGATAAAGAAAGGGATAATCCAGATGATTGCAGGAGGCCCTACGGATGGAGATTTACATAGAGAAAGAAAAAGTACTTACCAAGGGAAAGGAGTTGCCGATGAAGTGGCCTAGGAACATGTGAAGATAAGCTCGGCTACTTTGATGTTTGGGACTGAAGATGTGCAGGGTCTTGTTGTCTCACATAATGATGCCTTAGTCATCACTGCAGAGGTGGGTAGCTATGATGTGCAGAGGGTGCTCATATATACAGGGAGATCGGCAGATATTATTTTCTGGAAGTGTTTGCAACAGATGGAGTTGGACATAAAGATAGAACCAGTCCATAACGCATTGTATGGTTTCAGCGGTAACGAGGTCTACCCCCATTGGCGAAGTCAGTCTAACTGTGGCAATGGGAAGGTCACTTATGAGGAAAGTGAAGATGGTCCGTTTATTGGTTGTGGATGCTAGCTCGGCGTACAATATTATGCTGGGACAACCTAGCTTGAACTCGTTCCAAGCTGTTGTATCAACTTATTGCATGAAGATTAAGTTTCAAGTAGGGAATGACGTTGGAGAGATGACAGGAGATCAATTGTGGTAGTGAAATGGACTTCATCCGGACTCCTTCAACTCGGACGGCCTCCATACCTGCAAGAATTCCACGCCGGGAGGGGTCCCGGCGTCGGGACTCCGTTGTCTAAGACAACACTCGCTCCAAATCAAGAGTGAAAATTGAGAGTGTAGTCATGAATGTAGAGAGAATGTGTTAATTAAATACTCTAGCCCTTTTTACAGAGGGAGTATACCTTAGTGCCCAAGTTGGGCATACCATTATGTCATGTGTCTTAGCCCATATATGAACTTATTCTCAAATATATATTCCTTCTTGCATATTAAAGTCGGTCTAGTATAATATCTCATATCCCACTCTGGTCGAGTAAGCATGACTCGATCCAAGAGTGAAATGCCTCTTTGGACTGTTTCCGTCAACCTGCCACTAAAGTTATAATTTGAATAAATCCTCGACCACCTAGTAGCCAGTAAACCTCCAAATGAGCATCGGGGCCCAATTGAACACCGAATGATCTGCCACTGAGGTCGATAAATAAATTCGACAAAACCAAATAAGGTAAAAACCATCTACCTGCTCGAGCTACCCGTAATGACTTCCATCGACCTGTCACTGAGGTTGAAAAATAAATTCAACATAACCAAAATCAAATAAAGATCATCGACCTACCAATGAGGTCAGCCTAATGAACTCCATCGACCTGCCACTGAGGTCGAAAAATAAATATGACCAAATAGAAACCAAGTAAAAATCATCAACCTGCTTCCGAGGTTTCCAATAAGCTTCGTATCTTCAACGACCCAATACTAGGATCGACCATCCAACCCGAAGGCCTTAGTCATGGTGGTTTTTTCTTCGACCACTTGCCTACCCCGAAATGGGGCATACCAAAATAAGTGACCACTTGCCCACCCCGAAGCGGGGCGTACCAAAACAAGTTGATTTTTTCTTCGACTACTTGCCCACCCCGAAGCGGGGCATATCAAAACAAGTGGTTTTTTTTCTTCGACCACTTGCCCACCTCGAAGGGGCGTACCGAAACAAGTGACCACTTGCCCACCCCGAAGTGGGGCGTACTGAAACAAGTGATTTTTTTTCGACCACTTGCCAACCCCGAAGAGGCGTACCGAGACAAGTGACAACTTGCCCACCCTGAAGCGGGGTGTACCAAAACAAGTGGATTTTTTCTTCGATTACTTGCCCACCCCGAAGGGGCATACCGAAACAAGTGACAACTTGCCCACCCCGAGGCGGGGCGTACCAAAACAAGTGGATTTTTTCTTCAGTACTGCTCCAACACTTCGACCTGCCACTGAGGTTAAATAGAAGCACACCAAATGCAACAAGATAGGATAGTAATCGATCATTTTCATTAGTATCACCAAATGCATAATTACACCAAACGAGATAATAATTAAAAACATCAAACATATTTTTCGACCTCCCTTTCCAAGAGTGAAATGTTGTGGAACTTCTGTTCGAAAAGATGTGTGTGTTTGCTTGAGATAAAAATAATTTTTCGACCATAATCATTAATTTCAACTTCTCAAGATAAAATTAAAACATTTTAACTACCAATATAAATTTTATGTTTTTAAATTAATAATATTTTTATTATTATTTTTTATTGATTGGTATTTTCCAGTATTTATCGTATGATCCTGATACAAATCGGTATAACTGTAAATCTGGTATTTTGTGTGCAATCGTACCGTACCAATGACCGGTATCTGATATTACCGGCCGATACAATACGGTATTTAAATCACTGATATGAATCACTTGTCGCCATCGTGCTCGATCAAAACAAAAATTCTCATTCAAATTTAAATATTTTAAATTATTTTTTAAAAAGCTAGA